GTCAATATGCCGGAAGAGTGAGTCGATTTGGGCTTATCATTTCTAGAATAAATTTAGCCAAGACGAGTACAACTATTATCAAGATTGTTATATGGATTCACCACTTGATGAATACAAGAAAAGCTCGTTAAGTAAGGAAAGTTGTCTATTAGAAATGAGATTATATTGTAAGATCGTCGAATGCAACGAGAAGACAAAGAAAAATCGAAAGAGAGAGCATTTGATGAGGAAAAGGATGACGAGAAATCGTGTGAAGAGAGAAAATCCAGCGGTGGGTTTTGGGAAAGATTTTCTTTGGTTTCTTTGGTTTTGTACTTGTGAAAATTTAAGTTCAAAAACTTTATGAAAGCGCAATTATTGAAGCAATCTTTCCTCAATTAGAACTTCTTGAATCTCACTTCAGCAAGGCTTCAACTACGGGTCAACGGACACCGAATTCGGTTATCCTTGTTGGAATGAGCTTCTCCTCACCGCTTGGGCGAAACGTCCAGAAGTGTTGAAAGTAGAAGATAATTCGGAAACTGAAGCAAAACCAGCATTTCCGGGCTCTTCACATTGATCAAGCTTGGCAAGACGCTAAACTCGAATGGCAAGATTGCAAGTGATTAGAAGATTAGAAGATTAGAAGATTTTGATTTGTAAAAGTATTTTTAGTGATCCAATGTATGATGGATACAACGTGACATACAGAGATTTAACTCCAATTTTTGAGGAATTTCTCAAAATAAACACAAATCCATCTTTTCGTTTTCTGATTCACAACGGAGATGTGGATACAGTATGCAATTATTTGGGTGACGCGTGGTTTATGAAGAGACTGGCTGACAGAAATGGAATGAAGGTTTGTTTGTTTGTTTGTTTAAATGAAGGCTTCTTTGAATGAGCACTGGCTCTGAATGGGCTTTGGTTCTTGATTCTTTGTTACAAGACCTGTATATCATAGGCCTGGCTTCTAAGTCGGGTCTTGCTTCTAAGTCGGGTCTGGCTAAGCCCTGGCTAATCTAAGTCTTCTTAAAGGCTCTTCTTCTAGTTTACCTAAAGGGTTGGGCTTGAAGTAAAGCCAAACCCAAATCCTGGCTTGGCTTCTGTTCTGATCCATGCCTTGCCCGGTAGAGATGCTTTACAAAATTCTATGTAGAAAGAAAGACAAGGCTAGGAAGCTGAGAGTTAGAAGCTAGGTTTAGACCTGGCTTCTGACAGGTTTTGGGTACCTTTTATGGTTTTCAAGCTTGGAAGTAAATCCTAGATCTGGCCTAGATCTGGATCTGGCCTAGATCTGGATCTGGCCTAGATCTGGATCTGGCCTAGATCTGGATCTGGCCTAGATCTGGATCTGGCCTAGATCTGGATCTGGCCTAGATCTGGATCTGGCCTAGATCTGGATCTGGCCTAGATCTGGATCTGGCCTAGATCTGGATCTGGCCTAGATCTGGATCTGGCCTAGATCTGGATCTGGCCTAGATCTGGATCTGGCCTAGATCTGGATCTGGCCTAGATCTGGATCTGGCCTAGATCTGGATCTGGCCTAGATCTGGATCTGGCCTAGATCTGGATCTGGCCTAGATCTGGATCTGGCCTAGATCTGGATCTGGCCTAGATCTGGATCTGGCTCCAGGTTTTTCTTCCAGAGCTCTCATCAGTTCGGTATTGTTTATTGTTTTCGGACAAGTAAACGCAAATATTGGTATTTCTCTGAACAAACAGCCGGCTACATTCAGACGTACACGGCGAAAAGTGGAGTGATTTTCGATTTGATGACTGTAAAGGTTTGTTAGAAACTTTTCTGCAGATGACAGAGAAATTTTCAGGGTGCCGGTCATTTCCCTTCAACAGATCGACCCGGACCGGCGCGGCAATTCATTGTGAATTTCATGTGGACCGGGGAAAATGGAAAGTCCAACTATAGCTCTGAAGAGGTAAAACAGAAGCAAATTTTGTGTAGAAAGTTTTTTGAAATGCAAATCTTGTGCAGTAAAATGAATTGCACGATAAACTTTGATCAACTCTTTTAGTCGATCAAAGCTTTTCGATCAAAGCTATTCGATTAAAGCTAGTGGATCAAAGCTATTCGATCAAAGCTCTTCAATCAAAGCTAGTGGATCAAAGCTTTTCGACCAAAGCTACTCGATCAAAGCTATTTGATCAAAGCCAAAGTTCTTTTTGTTGAAGCAACCATAAACCATAAAATTCCTTAAAATAAAGGCTAAGCCAAGCCTCTAGACTTTGATCTCACCGCCAAATTCAATTTTTTTCAACTTTACTCAAAAACGTTTAGAGATTTTTCTAATTCTAACTTGACAGGCTGAACTGCCGTAATCGATTACATATTATCCTCAAAAATTATATCAAAACCTCTACTGGGATTTGAATTATAACTGAATAGATAAACAAACACAAACTTTGTGTCTTATAACAATTAAAATTTAGTTCGTCGATCGATGGGCCGAGTTTTCTCCCGCTTGAAGATGCGAAAAGTGGATTTTCACAAAGATTCTTGTTATCTTTAGCTTTTATTGTAGTTAGATATTTACCTAAATATCTTGAATAATCTAAGAAATAAATAATTTCTTCAAATTTCTTCAAATTTCCATTCAAATTTCAAATTAGCATACAACTTTGCGTTTTCAATTGGTCCCTTATTCCAATTTTAGCCCAGTAATATGTATTCATGCGTTTTTTTTGCGAAATTTGACACTCAAAGATTCTTTTTTTTGCATTTTGCTATACTCTGTGTTTGGAAGCGATTGAATTTCGCTTGTTTTGGCACGAAAAGCAGCACTAGATGAAGATAAACAAAAAAGATGGAGAAAGGACGGGTACGAGATCATTCGATGGGCAAATTAGGCACCGAACATTGAGCAACTTGTTTACTTGCTTCTGTATAGCAAAAACGAGTTTTAAATACTTGATAGGTACAGTACTGGACAATGAAATATGATATTTGAAAAACGATCGTCACTTTCGCGCGTCTGTAACTCGCTTGTCTTTGAGTTTAAACTATTAGTGTTAAACATTTTCTAAAAGCTCTTTTCAATGGCTACACAATGATAATATTAATATTTAGAAATGCGGTAAAGACAAGGGAGTTACAGACGCGCGAAAGTGACGATATTTTTCGAATATGATATTTCATTGTCCAGTAGTGTATCTGTCGTGGAGCTGTGAGAGTTGTAGCTCTCAATTGACTCTAAAAATGATAGATGCAAAATGGGATGTGCAATTGTTGGTTATGAAATGCAAAAGTGGTAACAAGTACAAGACTTTTCTTTCAAACGATTGGATGATGAGATATATAATTACTTGGTACTTGTCTGTTATACATCCACAGAGACTCAAAACGGTTAAGCAAGCAGAAGCTGACAACTTGTGAGGGGTGATTATGTTCAATGAAGTGAAGTAGAGTGCTCATCTGAAGTGATCAGTCGATCAGTTGAACGAGAATCGATAACCGAGAAGACTCGGATGGGGATGCTTCAAAGAGATGAGTCTTTGTGGATGTATAACCGACAAACCGACAAACCGACAAACTGACAAGTACCAAAATTTGAATTATATCAAGCGAAAATCTAATTTGGGTACATGTCGGTTTTACATCCACAGAGAATCCACAGACTCAACTCGGTTAAGCAAGAAGCTGTGAACTTGTAAGGGGTGATTATGTTCAATGAAGTGAAGTAGAGTGCTCGTCTGAAGTGATCAGTCGATCAGTTGAACGAGAATCGATAACCGAGAAGACTCGGATGGGGATGCTTCACCGAGATGAGTCTTTGTGGATGTATAACCAACAAATGCCAATTACTTTATTCAAGAGGAACTCGAAAAAGTGTAGACATACAAAAGAAAAAAAGAAAGTATAAAAATGATAAAAATGAAAAATGAAAATTCTTTAAAGGAAAAGATTAAAAAAACTAGAATTTTATGAGAATACGATAAGGTATAGGAATAGTGCACTTAGGCAAAAGATACTAAATCAATTTCATTTCTTAAAACGAGGGAAAGATGCCAAGAATTCGGAGTTTAAAGGTTATGCCACAATTTAGAAAAACGATTTGAGTAAAAATACAAGGCAGTGTTAAATGAGGAGTTGGATTTTGATAATTTCAAAAGAAAGCCCATTTCTGCCTCGCAGTGGAGCGACTTTTAGTAAATTCGAGAGACCCTGATCAACTGTGTATCAACTGATCGTAGTGTATCCTTCGATCTGTTCTTTCTCGAAGTCCAGAAGAGTTTTACCTCTTGTCATTACTTTGCCGCAAACTCAAAATCCTCTTTTATTGATTGTGAGATTCTAGCTTGACTTAGAAAACGCTTTAGCTAAAAGGAGTGATATTCCAACCACTGTATTTCTTTAAATTCAACACAATATGTTTATTTGGCATCCTTCTCTTTCTCTCTTTCTCTTTCTCTTTCTCTTTCTCTCAAATCTCTGTGAGTCATTTGTTGTGACTGAATATCGATCAAGAATTCCCTTTCCTTTCCCCCTTTCTTTTCTCATTTCTCCACGTTCTCTTCTATTTTCTTAATCTCTTTTTTTGCTGGGAGCCAGCGGGCGGAGAAACGCTGTAAAATGCACAACGAATGCCCCAAAAGAATTCTTCTTTTAACTACAATTTTCGTCTTTTATTTACATTTAAATAAATTCATTTTCAAAGTACAAACTTTTGGACTAAATCTATTGTTTCTATGTTAAAAATTGCTTTGCTTGGCTTTGCTTTGCTTTGCTTGGCTTTTGTTAATCTTTTTCTTGAACATTTTACAAATAAAAGTTCATTTTTGTTGTCTTAAAGTTTTCTGCATAAAATTGACTCTTATCAGATAGTTTTATAACTCACTTGTATCGTTTAAAATTTTCCACTGCCTTTCTAGTTTGTTTGACAAGATTTCTTTACCCATTTTCGTTATTATTTCAGAGTTTTTGAATCAGAGCTTTCGTTTTATAAATTCTATAGCTACTTTTAACAATTTTTTCCCTAGTCATCTCAAAAATGATTCAAAGTGGGATGGCTGCACAAGAGATTCGTCGGCAAGAGACTCGGCAAGAGACTCGACAAACCGACACGATGCGCTCGAAAAAGGTGAGCTATAGGAAAAAGATTGTTTTAATTGTTAAGAACAAATCGATAAAAAGATAAAATACTAATATCTAAAGTTAGCTATTTGTAGAAGTATTACAGATTATCTAAAATATCTAAAGATCTAAAGGCTAAAGATCTAAAGACGAAGGATCTAAAGACTTAAGATCTAAAGCAAAATATCTAAAGATAACTACTGTCTTTTCTCTAATAGTAGTGCACCCTGAGCGTCGCCTAAATTCCTCGAAATCTCGAAAAGCACTTATCAAAACCTATCGATGTGGGATTGGAGAAGGTAGCTGACGATGAGATCTTGGGGGGATTTGAGTGTTGAGCTTCTGCAAAAACTTGGAAACCGTAAAATAGTCACCAACTCGGCTCGTCGGGATGCACTAGGATTAGAGAAAATACGGTAAAATGGCAAATCTCAGCGAATAATTCAAATGATCTTGAACTTCTGTAATACTCAACTTCTTCAGATTCTTTTCAGATTTACTCAAAAATCGTATCTTGACCATGAAAAATATCACCTCAGGTTCAGAGATCTAGTAGAAAAGTCGACAGGGCTGGCTAGTGGGGGTTTTCAAAACAAGTTAAGCCCCAGAGTTGGAAGCATTGCCTAGGGGGCCAGGGCTAGGGCCAGGTCACAGGGCTAGGAAAAGATCTAAATCCAGGCAAATCCCAGGGCTAGATTCAAGTCCAGAATCAACTAGTGGAAGCCAGAACCAGATCCAGAGCCAGATTCAGAACCAGATTCAGAACCAGATCCAGAACCAGAGCTAGAACCAGAGCTAGAGCCAGAACCAGATTCAGATTTAGAACCAGATCGTATCTTGATATTATTTTATTCAAAATTTATATAATTTTAAAAGATTTACTTTCAGAGCGAATCGTTTATGGACAAGCTTTCGGGAACTTTGTCACGAAAGAAAAAAGATGGAAAAGAGGCGGGAGATGCGCCGGGGAAACCACAAGATCCACAAGAACAAGAAGGGAAAGAAGTTAACCAGGTTGGTGAGAGAATCAGTTCAAAATTGATAAAGCTATTTATATTTTGAAAAAAACCAGTTGTCAATTTTTCATCCTTTCACAAACTTTCCGAAAGTCGACTCGGGTCTAAAGCTTGCTTGGGCTAGCGTAACCAGAGCTAGTGCAAGTTTGGCAAGCATTAGCTTAGGATTACGGTAGCCGGGGATTGTACTTTAAAGCGCCAACGTTGATATTCAGAGTTTTAAGTTTGTGCAAGAGAATTGTCCAATAGTTTGTTTCAAGTTTGGGTTTTTTTATAGCAAGCTGCTCCAGCTTTGGTGTAAGCGGGTGTAAGCGTGTAAGCGACTGTAAGCGTATAAGCGTATAAGCGTGTAAGCGACTGTAAGCGTGTAAGCGACTATTTACAATGGTGTAAGCGACTATTTTCAAATTGAATTTCTTTTTTTTGTTCTATCTTTTAAACTTAGCTTTCAAGGTTTACTTGCAATTCAAATCCAAATTCAAATTCAAATTCAAATACAGCTTTCAACTCGATTTTTCAGCTTGATCACGATGGACGTGAGGCGCTCGACTACGCGTTGATTCCAGCCGTTTCGAAGAAGATTGAGATTGCTGAAGGTTTGAAGTTAAAATCTGAAAGATAAATAAGAGATAAATTCCCCTAAGGGTATGCTATTTAATGTTTTTTTCATGACAAAAGAAGTTTAGGGTGCTCTGTTATGCCAGTTGTAGTTGTTAAAATTTGTATTTTAAAATCTACGGCACTTTTGCATACCATTTTTGATTTCTACATCACAAAAAAAGCAATTTTCTATTATTTTTGGCATTGTGTGAATTGTCGTTGTTGGCGGTTCGATCGTTCTTCGTGTTCGTGCAGTAGTTGGCACTTTTGTTGTGGTTGGCGTGGATTCGCTAGACAAAGTTGGCGAGGCTGTGGAAATTTCTGTGGTCGTTTTCGGTTCTTCGGCTTTCGAGACACGAACTCTTGCTATTATTGCTATTAGCCAGAGCTCTTGCTATTAGTGCTATTAGCCAGAGCCTATTTCGCTTCTTATCTTGTCAAATTTATGCCAAGAAGCCCGAGATCAAGAATTTCTTTGAGTGAATTTTGAAGAAAAGTCAACAGTCGGATATTTCTGAGGTTTCGGAGGCAACAATCGGCTTTTTTCAATGCTAATTTCATAGTTTTTAAAAAATAAAATACTATAAACATAATAGTTTTAAAGGCAGATAAAATTCAGATGTTAAAACATCAAAACGCTAAACAAACGTTTGACGAAAAGGAATAGCTTGTTTTAGAGACAAATCTCTTATCCATTAGGCCACCACGGCATCTGTAAAGCAAAGTTAGTGTGTTAGTGTGCGCGCCTCAAATAGAAATGCCAAAAACGTTTTTTGCTAAATAACTTGCATTGCTATTTAGGAAAAACTAAAAAGCAGCATTAGATTCCCCATGAAAAGCTTTGGATTCCCCATCGTTCTGAAATTTCACCTTGAGTGGACGGTCTTCCCTAGTCAGGTGTTAAAACATCAAAACACTAAACAAAAGTATTGCGAAAAGGAATCGAACTCGAGCAAAAAACAGTTGCGGTCGTTAAGTATGCAAACTTTTAACCCACTACACCATCGAGCCCCGTTCGAGGCCTGTGAGAAAACCATCATAAAGGCATCCGCTTAAAATTCGCATTTTCACCTTAAAACTTAAAACACATATAACTTCTTATAGAAAATGATTTTGGAAAAACGGAAAGCAGATTCGGAATCAGTGTGAGATTGGCTATCAGTGTGAGATTGAATCATCTATGGGCTTCATTTAGTCAAATCCTAATGTTGCCTTTCTCTTGCAATTGCTTGCAAATTCCTTTCTTATATCCATCTTCAATTTGTTTTCAAATCAATAAAGTAAAAATCAAAATGGAAATTTTACGAGAAGGATTGATAATGACATGGTATAATAAGAAAGTACAAAGTTTATTCCTTTTTTTCAGGAACTGAGCGTCGCTTCTTGACGAGAGAATCCAGCGACGATCCTCGGGTTCACGAGGTCGTTCGTCTGCTTCTTGGGTTAGTAATTGATCAAGAAATTTGATTGACTTCTTATTTTTCAAACTATAAGATCATGTTTATAAGTTAAGAAACGTTTTAACCTTTAGTTGGATCAATGACGAGGTGGCTGAGGAGAGAATTGTTGTGAAGAACATTCAAGATGATCTCTATGACGGTCAAGTCTTGCAAAAGCTTATTGAGAAGCTCGCTGGGATTCGGGTAGACAAGCAGATCAACTTGAAGACAGTGAGCCAATTTCAGATCGAAGTGCCTGAGGTTTCTCAATCCGAGGAGGGACAACGACAGAAATTGGACATTGTTGTCTCGACAGCGAATCGAATTTTAACCCCCGGACAGTATGAAAACGCTCAATGGACTCCTGAAATGATTCATCAAAAGGTTTAGTGCCGATTAGACATCTATCAAGTACTGTAAAAAGAAGAAATTGAAAGAAAAGGCTCATCATTGCTCCGTCACTTGAAAATTATAAGAATTAAACTATTAGGTACATGCATAAGAAATGCGGATTTCAACATTTCAACATTTTCATGTTGAAACCTGATGAGGCTTGAACCAACGATAGAAACCTGATGTTATAAACAAGAATCGATGAATGTTAAAAGCTATTTGAAAGTTGTAAATCTCCTCTACAAAATAGGCTAAAAGGTGTTTCACTTGATCGAAGCATTGAAGAAATTTCGAAGGCGAAATGCGAGTGACCGAAAAAAGGAATCGAGCCACTTTAGGGACAAGTTTAGTGTGCTCAAAATAGAGTTAGCTTCGGTTTTGGCTAAAAGTGACCGCCCTTCATTCAAAAGCATTCAAATATCATTCAAAATAATTAAGAGTTCGGATCATTTCATGGGAAAACTTTTTCATTCATATATAGTTATCCTTTCTTTTTTTTAAATCTTCAATTCTGGGAAGCTAACTCTATTTTGAGCACACTAAACTTGTCCCTAAAGTGGCTCGATTCCTTTTTTCGGTCACTCGCATTTCGCCCTCGAAATTTCTTCAATACTTCGATCAATTGAAACACCTTTTAGCCTATTTTGTAGAGGAGATTTACAACTTTCAAATAGTTTTTAACATTCATTGATTCTAGTTTATAACATCAGGTTTCTATCGTTGGAAATTCTATGAAAATGTTGAAATGTTGAAATCCGCATTTCTTATGCATGTACTGAATATTTTGGAACAATATATACAATATATTGTCTAAAATATACAATATATTTTGAACAATATAACCAAGTAAATTTTCCAAATATTAAATCAAAATTTCAAAACTTTAGGACATCGTGGCAATCATTCAACTCTTGGTTTCATTGGCTGTTCATTTCCGAGCACCCGTTCGTTTCCCAGAGCACGTCAATGCTCAGGTAAACAATACAGAAAGAATCTAAAGATCTAAAGTGAATAGTTGATTGTGAATTTATTTATTTATCTATTTAAAACTAATGATATACATCATGAAAATCTAAAGAACTCTATGTTTTATTTAAAACTTTTCAGATCCTGCTCGCTCGCAAGGAAAATGGTCAGGTGAAAACGCGTTACGCAACGGAGATTCTCACCGAGAAACAAGAAGAACTTTGCCCAAAGGTTACTTGCAATATCTTATTCAAATAAATCAATATAAAAGTTAATGAATCAAGCTTCAATACAAGTTATTAAGATCAAGATGTAAGCTTATTAACGTCTACCTAAAGGTTATCACCTAGTGACAAAAGCTAAGCTTTAAACCAAAGTGCCTGAAGGTAAAATTTAAATAATTAAGATAGAAAATTTACAGATGTAAATCCTAATAGATATTTATAATATTGGGTTGATGCATAATTATCCGGACTTCTTTTATAAATGATTTTATTTAACAAAAAATAACATAAATAGTTAGAAAAATATGTTTAATTGATTATTCTGGAGCATATTCACCGCCTACATCAATAACTGATTGCCATTTGCTTGGAAGACGATCGATTCCACGAGCGAAGAATAAACGATCTTTGGAGGCAATCCACGCTTTAACATCGTCTATCAAGTCATCCAAATCGTTGTAGATCTTATTTGTTTGCCAATTTTTGAGCGATCGATTGACGTGGTAGTCCGTTGGGGCTTCTCCAGTTCTTTGAGATCGCGAAACGACTCTGCGGCAGACCATCCCTTTTCGAAGTGGTAGAGCATGATATGGCGAAGATGGATATGATTGTCGACACGCATTTTGTTCACTAAAGAATAACAAATATTTAAAAAAAAGAAATAGACAAAAAGCTTTCAAAACAAAAAAGATACAAGCACGCAAAAAGAAGTCCGGATAATTATGCATCAACCCAATATTTAACAAGAAACAAGAAGAACTTTGCCCAAAGGTTACTTGCAATATCTTATTCAAATAAATCTATATAAAAGTTAACAAAATCTAATTCAATGGAAGATATTATGATATTATGCTTATATCATAATATCTTGTATTATACTAACTTGTATTATACTAACGTCTAGCCTTATCTAAAGATTATCGCTAAAAGCTATCAAAAACAAAGGCAAAGCTTTAAACCAAAGTGCCTGAAGGTAAAATTTAAATAATTAATATAGAAAATCTACATATAGAAATCCTAATCGGTATATTTATAATATAAAAAAGTATGAATTTAAAGTGATTTCCAGGGTGAACGAGACGCTTTTGATACTCTTTTCGACTACGGACCGGACAAATTGGCTCACGTCAAGGGATCTCTATTGGCTTTTTGCAATAAACATCTTAACAAAATCAATTTGGAGGTGAAATTTAAAAGTAAAATCGAACTTTGTTTAATTAGACTTCTATTTTCAGGTTTCCAACATTGAAACTCAATTTCAAGATGGGGTTTTCCTCGTTTTAATGATGGGACTCTTAGAGGGATATTTTGTTCCATTGCATCATTTCCATTTACAGGTAATACTCAAAAATTTATTATATTCTGTAATTGTTTACTTTGAAATGATCTTTTGAATTTGATTACATTGAATTATAAATTCTAGGTGTCCACTCATGAGGAGAAAATGAAAAACGTGCAATTCGCCTATCAATTGATGGAACAAGTCGGAATCAAGCCGAGATCTCGGGTCAGTCATTTCAAATCATAATGGAAAGAGATATAAAAAAGGAATTCAAGCTAAGATACCAGATAAAGAAGAGAAATGCGGCGTTTTGTCTCACGAGCCAAAAAGAGCCGTTATTTTTTTGAGGCAGCAATATTTTCAAAATCTGATTAGAGATTCGGATTCAGCATGACATATTACATATAGGAGGTGTATTTCGGGGCTAATAGCTTTGCGAGACATCTCTCGTCCACTGGGGCAGTAACGCAAAAAAAAACACCTCGTCGCGAATGTGTTAATAAAAAGTATTTCGATATTCGATTCAGGTTGCTGACATCGCAAACGGTGATGTGAAATCGACTCTGCGCCTTCTCCACCTCTTATTCACCAAATACAAACACGTCTAGGAAATCGATCTGAACAGTGCTAAAGAAGAAATTTTCGAAAACAATCATATTCCCGATTTTCCCGCAATTGATCCTTTCGATCCACCAAATGATGAAGATGTGCCTAAATATTTCTATTCAATTATAATTTTCAACTTTTTCTCACAATTCCTTTCCATTCACTGCCCTCTTCCCCTATTTTCTTGAAAATCTCTGCCCAGGGCCCGCTCGAGATCGATCTTTGATTGAAGATCAAAAGTTTTCTTTGAATTCGCGCTGCTAATTGATTGCGATCCTCGAGCGGGCCCTTTGTACTGTTCAGATGAATCCAAAAGAAATGCCAAAATTTTGATGCTCATTTTCTTAAAAGTAAAGTTTTTGGTGCTTTTAACAGATTTTTTTTTGAATAAATCACCCGCAGACAGGAAAAGTTTCAAAAATAGAGCATTAAAAACAAATTCAATACATTTTGAGCTCAAAATGATTCGTGATATTGAAGAAAACTTTGCTAATAGTTTAAAGAGCTAGAAACAGATAACCAAGACATGCTTACAATCAGAAAATCAACAAAATGACAATTGATCTAACTTGTCTTTGTTCTATTTTTCATTTAGACTTTTTACGAGCATTCGAATGCATTTTAATTTAGTGGCTTCTTTATCAGGAAGTATTTTTGATTTTTATTCACTAATTTTCATTCACTAATCGCATTCGCAGAAATGACAAACTTTGACATAAACTTGTTCGCCAGTAAGTAAAAGCTTTTTCTAAACCGTATCAAATTTCAAAAAAAGTACCATACTCTAGTTTCTAGTCATCCTAGTTATCTACTTTTGCTCTGATTCTGTGTTTATTCACGAGTGCATTGTATTCTACTGTTAGAGTATTGTATTGGATTGATGAATTGAAAACTGCGGGCTATTGTCATATGTGACAGTTTGAGCACTTTCTTCAAAAGAAACCCATTTTGGTGTCAATGGAAAAGTTGTAGAGAATCAAAAATCAAGCTTATATCCAAATTTTCAGAACGATTCAAAAACTGGTTTTCAAGAAATGCCAAATTTACGAATTTTCACAAAACTTGCATTTTAAGCGAAACTACTAAGTGTGTCTTTTTGGAAATTTGGCTATAAGCCTCATTTTTGATTCTCTACAACTTTTCTATTGACACCAAAATGGGTTTCTTTTGAAGAAAGTGCTCAAACTGGAATATCTCCAGTCCTCCATTTTTGAGTCTCACACTTGTCTCACACACAAACCAAAATCCTACTACGAAAGAGGAATCCGCAAATTGCTTGTAAAATGGGCAGAAGTCGTCAATAATAATGGAAATAATTTGAAATGAATCCATGGTTTTATGTTGAATAAATTTTAGTTTAAAGTCCGACAGTTTTCAATTCACCAACCCAATAATTATCTTAAAACCTATTAAAATACAGTACGATTTTTCCCTTTTAACAACCTTAATCGTCTCTTCGGCTGTCATGCCATGACCGATCCCTAGAGTCACAAAAGTGCATGGAGCTAACTGAATAATTTAGATAATCGAATGAAATCTTTCAAAGCATTCACCTCAAGTCAAGTATCCAACCTTGACTTATTGTTAGTATAAAACCAAAATGTTTTTAGATAAAGAACTAGAAAAAAAACTGTTTTCAGTTCTCTTGGCCTGCTGGTGAAGCTCTGACTAAAGGCTCTGGCTAATAGCACTAATAGCAAGAGTTCGTGTCTCGAAAGCCGAAGAACCGAAAATGACCACAGAAATTTCCACAGCCTCGTCAACTTTGTCTAGCGAATCCGCACCAACCACAACGAAAGTGCCAACTACTGCACGAACACGAAGAACGATCAAACCGCCAACAACGACAAAGGTGCCGACTACAACTAAAGGCTCAACTATAACAGTGCCAGCTACGACAACTACAACAACGGAAACACCAACAACTAACAAAACAACAGCAACAACAACTACTACTACATCAAGACAAACAACAACTACCACAACAACCATAACCACAACCACAGATTTCAACAACCGAAATCCTGACAACGCCACCAGAGAACACGTTCATGCCAACTACACCAACCAAAATGCCTCCTGAGTCAGCTACTACAGAGCTTTTGAAAGCAACAGTTTTATGCATTCCTTTCCTCTATGCTTTGCTTAATCAGTGCAATAAATAAAAATCGTTTGGATAGTTTGAAATCATGAATGAAATTCATCAAATACATCAAGAGCAAGAACACAGTTTCAGAAACAAAACCGATTTTGTAAACAAAGAAAGGTATCAGGAAGTGGGGTTGATGCTTTTTGGACAAAGATCGTAACCCAAAAGTATACATGGCTTTTACTCGTGAGAAATCTTACGCAATTTATCAGTGAATTGGAAAAATGAAAATGAGAGCGCCTGTTACATCGATTGAGACCAACTCACATTCGTCCCGTTGGCTCTTAAGCAAAGAGCCAACGGGACGAATGTGAGTTGCACATTTACTATTGCTCCAACAGCAATCAGTTGGACTCCAACAGCAATCAGTTGCACGACTATTGCAGTCAGTTGGACTCCAACAGCAATCGGTTGCACCACTATTGCAGTCAGATTAAAAAGGATAAGTTAGCGTTATACTATAGATGTTAAGTGACGTTTACCTAGATACTGAACAATTTTCCTGATCAAGTCGTGGAGTCCTTGGCTTGTCTTTTGGCTAGGGTTGATAATCTTTGATAATCTTTTGGCTAGGGTCATTTTTTTTCTGATTAGCCAGCTCTAGGGCTTCGTTGAAGCATTTGCTTTTGACCTTTCTAATGGTATGGGATCCATACGTTTACCTAGATACTGGAGAATTTTCCTGATCAAGTCGTGAAGTCCTTGGCTTGTCTTTTGGCTAGGGTTGATTGGTTTGTCTTTGGCTAGGGTCATTTTTTTTCTGATTAGCCAGCTCTAGGGCTTCGTTGAAGCATTTGCTTTTGACCTTTTGACTTGAAGCATTTGCTTTTGACCTTTCTAATGGTATGGGATCCATTTCTTATCTGAAACTCAGGCTCAACTCAATTGAAAACCAATCTAGACTAAATTTAGAGATAAATTTTACTACAAACAATACCTGAAGAACGCATCGAAAAAAGATAAGGCTTTCAATGAGCATGAGGCGGCCATACGTGTTTTCCAACGAGCTGGTATATACGAGGCGTATGCTCAAACAGCAATCACTGTGTAAGTTCGTATGCTCTAACAGCAGTCACTGTAGTTTCAAAATTGTGAGAACAGAAACTTTGAACTGAAAAAGTTAAAGACAGGTATAAATTTAGAGGTGAGGTTAATCAAATTGACCAAGAGCGAACCGAACTTCATCGAGACGAAACAGAAATGGTTCTCCTGCCCGGAGCCGAACATTTCGACATTGAGCTTTGGGAGCAAACGGGAACTCTCGATGGCCCGGCGAGGACGAGTTTTCAAGAGACCAGTTCACAAACAGATCCACAACCAAGCAGCTCATGCTAGTCTATGTTGTGGATATTTCACTCATTATTTATCTACAAAAGATTTTTATTTCGTTTCTTTCGGGTTTGATGATGAAAATTGATGATTGTTGTGTTTTTTTGTGAAAGAATTTACAAAATAATAAAATAAACTTTAGCTCCAAAAGTGAAACTGCAAAGTTTTTGAAAGAATTTAAAATAAGCTTCCGATTTGATTACCGTAAAAGCTGTAATAGTAACCTCCGAAATTGTATTTGGCTGTATTTGGCTGTATTTGGCTTTTCCTTGAAATAGCGAAATATTCAGTCAAAAGGATTTCATTCAAACTTTCAAAATCCTCCGTTGTAAACAGATTAGCCCTTTGTTTATAGACTTTTTCAAATTTAAACCGCGGTCAGGGCCCAGAGGTGGCTCATTCCTTTTGCAAATTCCCTTTGCTTCCAATGCCTCTTTATCAAATTCATTTCCCGTTAGAGGCGCTAGATTATGGAACTTGCTCCCAAACGACATACGAGAAATTCAGTCGCTTTTCATATTCAAGAAACGTATCGATGCTTTAGATCTAGTGGATGCCGTAAGTAATTGGCTTATTGATTTCAGTATGTATTGTATGATTAAGTATCACTGTGCATTTCTCTATGATTTCTTTCACTTTATCGTTTGAATAAAGTATTATTATTATTATTATTCACTTTACCCATTGTAGCGTTTAAAAGATGGTTTTTGCTTTTACTACGTTCGCTGCTTAAACGCTTTTATTACGTTTGCTTTTTACTAAAAAACGTGATGTATTCAGTCTTGAAGTCGCTTGCTCGAAATTGCTCGAAATCATTCCACCTTTCCCATCTTTTCTTTACAAAAATTGCTAAAATTAATTGACTAGTAGCTAACAATGATTTTCGCAACAATGATTTTGATTTTCGCACTAGATTTTCATAATTCTCTAAATAGATTTACGCATTTAAAAAATCATTAACACTACTTGCTGTTTTTTTATCTTTTATTGTGAAAAATTTTGATTATTAAGGCACTACGAAGTTTGTTCAATATGCAGATGTGGCTTGGAATGGTTCTTCTGGTTCGACAGTTTTACGAGGATTGGATTTTACTGCAAGCATCTGGGAGAAAGGTGTGAACTGAAAGGCTCCTGAAATGGAAATCTATTTAAAATGGGTTGCTGATGCTTGAGTCAATTTCGGAAGAAGTCATTCGTCGATCCTTTTCGGTGTTGTGTTGTTGTTGGAAGCTGTTGTGTTGGAATCAATTCAAGTGATGCCGAGAACCAGCTGATTCACTTTTTTAAGCCCGATGGTTCGATTCCTACTACGGTTACTCAATTACTTGTTTTCGTAAATAAATTAATTGAAAACTGTTTCTTTAATGAGTGGTCTTTCTTTCTTTCTTTCTTTCTTTCTCGAATCTTTAATTTGTTTCCAAAATTTCTGATAGCCAATTACTATGCAAATTTCTTTCTTATTGAAAAAAATAATGGGGCTATTATTACAGTATTTAACTGCTTTTGACAAAAATCGTAACCTAACTTTTATCTTAAATCTTTAGAACAAACAAATGAACAGAAACGAACAAACAAACAAATTAACAAATTAAAAAATACGTTTAGTTTCACAAAGAGAAAATTACTAGGTAACCACAGAGTTGTGTTCAATAATGCGCCTTCTAAACGGCGTAGTCTTTCTTTCCGATTTTGCCATTCTATTTATTTTTCTATTTCATTTTGGGGTGAACTGGGATGAATCCGAAAATGAATCCCTTTTGGATCGAATGCAAAAAGATTCGAAGAGAAAAGAAATAAAAAAAAGAAAATGAGTCTAGTTATTATAAAGGACTATATCCATTTGACACCTTTTCATTCCTTTTCCTTTCTTCTTTTCTTTTCTTTTCTTCTTCCTCTTTCTGAATCCATTTTCTTTCCATTCCCTTCCATTGACTCCCTTCTTTTGGACCGTTGTTTTGAAGAATTCTCTAAAAAGATTCCCTAAAAAATCTTGAGTGCGGATAATTGTTCGATGAAAGCGTTGGCACTTTCTCCATTTCGGGATGACGGATTTTACTTTCTTAAATATAATAATAAGCCTTCAGTCGAGATTCTTTGAAAAGCTAAAAAGTTTGATTTTAGAAAGGCTTTAGAAAAATGGTTGGTTGATGGTTGGTTGATTTGGTTGATGTTAATGTCAGAAGTTCTAAACATAACTCTACTTGTGGTTGAATTATCTAACTTTTTAACATTCTTCTTAGATTGTCCTAGGTCTTAGAAAATCTAAAATAGTTTATGAGGCATTCATCTTACACTTTCAATTACTTCAAGTATACCTTGTGCTCGAAAATCGAAACATTCGCTTTCTAGAGGACTAATTTGGCGTTTTCTTTGAGCGTCAAAATGCAGCACATCTTTTCTTGTGCACTTAGTACCTTTCTTTCTGTATTAACAATTGATTTTCCTTAAGAATTCGGTGCTTCAAAACGGATATGTTTAGATTTTAGCAAAAAGAACATTAAGAAGCAGCTGCAGGAACAGTTTTTCTCAAATATAAGTTTGTGAAGTTAAAAGAAAACTGGTTTTTTTTCTGCTCAAATCGGAAGATGAGACACTTGTTGAGAGAAGAAAGTCCTCAAAATGAATGAGTGAGACGGGTAATCGAGAAAGGAAAAAGCTCGATTTGGCAACTCAAGAAGAGAAATCAAGTTGAAATGGGAGGAAACGATGGGAATTTTCGAGTTTACATTATTTAGCAATAAATTTATTCCAATAGAATGATTTGCTTTGTTTATAGAGATACTTTATTCAGGGCCTGAAATAAAGTGCGCTAGATTTAAGATTAACGCACATGAATTCATACACACATAAGACGAAAAGGGCCGATAAAAAGCAACACGATATAATGTATGTATTGGGTTGGTGAATTGAAAACTGCCGGACTTTGAACTAAAATTTATTCAACATAAAACCATGAATTCATTCGAAATAATTTCCATTATTATTGACGACTTCTGCCCATTTTACAGGCAATTTGCGGATTCCTCTTTCGTAGTAGGATTTTGGTTTTGAATCGAAAAACTTTCAAAGCCAATTTTTGACTGCTTCTTCTGGATCGAAGTGTTCTCCCGAAAGCTCATTACTCATGGTCCGGAATAAATAGTAATCAGAAGGGGCGAGGTCCGGACTGTATGGGGGATGCGCCAAAAGTTCCCAACTAAGGCCGTTTATTTTAGAGCTAGTCAGTTTTGCAACATGTTATTAGTTATTATTTAGATAAAAAGTAAATTCTCTAACAGATTTCCTCTTTTATTGGGTTGGTGAAAACTGCCGGACTTAAAACTAAAATTTATTCAAAATAAAGCCATGGATTCATTTCAAATTATTTCCATTATTATTGACGACTTCTGCCCATTTTACAAGCAATTTGCGGATTCCTCTTTCGTAGTAGGATTTTGGTTTGTGTGTGAGACAAGTGTGAGACTCAAAAATGGAGGACTGGAGATGTCCCAGTTTGAGCACTTTCTTCAAAAGAAACCCATTTTGGTGTCAATAGAAAAGTTGTAGAGAATCAAAAATTAAGCTTATATCCAAATTTCCAAAAAGATACACTTAGTAGTTTCGTTTAGAATGCAAGTTTTGTGAAAATTCGTAAATTTGGCATTTCTTGAAAACCAGTTTTTGAATCGTTCTGGATATAAACTTATAAACTTAAATTTGGATATAAACTTAATTTTTGATTCTCTACAACTTTTCCATTGACACCAAAATGGATTTCTTTTGAAGAAAGTGCTCAAACTGTCACATATGACAATAGCCCGCAGTTTTCAATTCATCAACCCAATAATATATGGGTAGTACAGATAACGTCAAGAGTCCACTAGAGCTTCAAGATCATCTACAGATAATTTAAAGATTTCGAGACTATTGGACTCTCTCAAAACTCTGCGAAGTTGATTCCAAATTCTGGCAATTCTTATTGGAAAAGAGAATTAGAAAAGAGTTATGGAAGAGTTTTTAATTGAGTGAACGCAACTCGTTGTTATCACATGCTAGATTAGCTTCTTTTTGAGTAGACTTTTTAGTTTTTTTTTCCTATACTTTAAATTATAAGCTTTCTCTTTAAAATTTTTGAAAAAAAAACAACTTTTTAGTGTTCATTGTTGAAAGTCGAGGCTCGAATTTCAAAAAAAAAACAAAACAAAATGACTCAACTCGTGTAGAAAGAGATAATAAATACTAAAATTTCAAGTATTCTCTATCAATAAAAGAAATTCATTGACTTAAGCTCTCTTAATTTGTGAAAAATCCACTTAAAAAGATTCTGCCACAAAAAAAGTACATTCAGTTCTCATTTTTCGTACTTTCCTCTGAACTTTCAACCTTTCCAAAGCTCAGAGATTACTTGGCTTTTTCAAATATTAGAATTAATCTATTCAATTAATCTATTCAATTAATCTATTCAATTAATCTATTCAATCAATCTATTTAATCAATCTATTCAATCAATTTATTCAATTAATCTATTCAATCAATCTATTTAATCAATCTATTCAATCAATCTATTTAATCAATCTATTCAATCAATCAAAAAAAATAACTCAATTTTTCAATCTTGTGGACCTTATGGCTTTGAAATGATCTATGAAAGAGAGGGAAAAGATCAAGTGGAAGTCAGTTGTCCTTTTCACTCAGAAAAGAAGACAGAGGACAGATTTTTGACAAGTGGTTTCATGTTTTTCACAAATTGATGAAGAGCAACGAAGAAAGATTATCTTTCAACCAATTGGCTTTATTTTGGTTTACTATTTAGTTTTGTAACATTGGGCTGTTATGAAAACTTTTCTGGTTCCTAACCTGGTCATTCTATGACCAGGTTAGGGTACTGGCAGGTATTTCAACGAATCCAGCTCTCTGAATATCTTTAAATCTTCATTTACTGATAATAATAAGCTTACTATTCTATCTAAATCGCTGATTATCTTTTATTTATAAGTTAAAGTGAAAAAGAGACTTAGAAGAAG